TTAGTTTTGCAGTTTATGTTGTTTCCTCCTCCTAAACACTTCACCATTGGTAACAGACGTCTTTCGTAATTATCCCTGAAAGCCTTGTTATTTTGAAAGCTATTGATTAATGCATCTGTCTTCCCCTCCTTGGAAACCTTTTCACTAGGCTGTTTGGGAGAGTTAATTTAACAGTCTTCATATTTTCAAGCCCTCTGAATATCTTTATTCAACTATATAGACCATATGGGGAAGAGAAATAAAGATTTCCAGGCATAACTTTTTTGTGGCCTACTCTTTAGAAATTTGCTTTACTAACTGGCCAAAGGGCATGCCTAATATTAGCACAGCCTCCTTTTAACTCACTTTCCAATGGAGAAAGGCTGGGTGGCTTAGTTTGTTTACTAAAAAAAAAAAAAAAAAAAAAAAAAAAAAAAAAGACAAAGTTCCTTTTGAAAGGTTGAATTTTGACTTAACTTCAACCCCAAGAAAAGTCCCAGAACTTTCCTTTTAGTATTATTTTTTTTAATATTTCACTATATTGGTAGTTAGTGAGACAAATCTGCCCCTAACACCTCTTGCCACTTGTTGTGGGGAGGCTGTCATACATACACACTATCACAAGGTTCCAAGAATGCGAACAATTTGCAACAGTCCAAAATGATGGAAGGCTGAAAGTAAATGAGATAGGCAGTTTGAGATCTAGGCTGCCTTCTCCTCCAATAACCAAATAAACACTACCACCCTGCCCAAGGTGTTCCTCGACTTCCCTCTTTTTCCCTGGGCGTTCAATACCATTGAGCAAACCCTAGCCTTCTCTGATTATGGGGTCTCAACTTCCTTTCCTCTCAAGGATTTAGAGATGTTCAAAAATCTATTTTCCAATGAGTAACTAAGGATTCAGAGCATAAGTATCTTCTACAGCACTTCTCACACCAATAAAATAGGTTAGTTGGTTTGTCCCTTGGTAAAAAAGTAGGAGTGATCAAAATGTTTGACAACACTTGAAATATAGCAGTCATCAATCCAAATGGATACTGGCCAGTATGTTAGCTCAGCACATACCACAGAATGTTGGTCTTGTCACAAGTTGGGAGACATCCCCTATGGCTGATCTCCAGGTTGCAAGATTCCTCCCTTGTTACCATCTTTCTTAAAAAGAAGGCATAATTCTTTGTGGTCTGGGGCTCTTTATTTTAGAAGATTCATTCTTCCTTGTTCAGGAAGTTTATAACTGGTTAAGGCTGAGAATCTATTTGTAAATTCCAAACACACTTGTCCTTTGTAGAATGCCCCCTGCTTCCAAATCAGTCACCAAGACTTGTCAATTCTACTTTCTAAATAGGCCCAAATCACTCTTGCATTTTTCTGCTCGGTGACTTAGGCCAGATGTGCATCATGTCCTGTCTGGATTTCTCCTAACCTCTCCCCTGGGTGGGCATGCCCTTCTAATCTAGCCTGTACATGCATACAGTGAGGGTCTTCTAAGCAGAAATGTGACTGTGTCACTTCAGTGCTTAAAATAATTAAACGCAGCTCTGAAGGACAAAAGCCTCTAATATTTTCAGGCACTTTGTGATATTGCCCCACAATCCTCCCTCACGCTCCAATCAAAGGCCAATGGTCTAACCAAGCCCAACTCTGTAAAATTCCCTGAAAGTACAGCTCTTCCCCTTCCTCTGCATGAGCTGCTCCCCCAGTAGGGTATGTGGGCTGGAGGTCTTACCTGATCTCTCTAGGACTTTGTCCTCTACCATCTCAGAGTCTCACCATAAGACGTCTACTGAGGTATTCTTTACTATCAGCACCCTGTATCTTTGTCCCAACACCTCACCCCTTAGTCTCTCCTAGGTTGGAACATATGACATCATTTTTATAAGTTATAAATGATAAAATAGCAGCAATTTCATATAGTTCAACCTAATAGAAACCAAAATTTCCTGTCCTGAAATGCGGGCTCTTGGTCCTCACCTACCAGGTCCACTGTGAGATAGTTTCACATCATGGTTAAAAACTTGGATGGTAAACTCAGAACCAGGTTAGAGTTCCAGCTCAGATCACCAGCTGAGTGTGACCCTGGACAAGTTATTTGCCCTTCTGGGGCCTCAGTTCATCTGTAAAAAATTAGGGAAAATAACAATGGCTTCTCCATAGAGAGGTGGTGAGAATAATTTGCATGAAGAGTTGAATTCACAGTAAATGCTTCCTAAATGGCAGTTACGGTGAGCAAATACAGCATCATATATGGTTCACTTTGTAAAATGCTCTAACGTTAATTGCTCTGTGTATAGCCTAACAATACAGCTCATTTGCAACAACTGTTTTATCGAAGGACGTGATCTTGAGATCCCAAATACCTTCCTCATCATTTAAAAGCCTCCATTCCCACTCAGTGTTGATCAGGATCCTGGGTGGATGAGTCTACATGTTGTTTCCTTCTCTCTCCTTCCCTCCTGCAATCAATGTGCTACCAATTATGACCTGAAATGGTTGGAAAAGAATTACTGAGGACCCCAGCACCTGCCCCATTCCCTTTCTCAGATTCCCATTAACTCCTAAAAAAGCCAAAAAAGTAATCAAAATGCAGTATTTGGATAAGTATGTTAAGAGGCTCTTTTACTTGCCTATTCACCCAAGTTTACCCAAGACAGCATCCCTGGTGCCCACAGTAAGTCATAAAATGGCCATGCTACTTTGTGGGGTGTATCTTGACTTGGTCTCCATGTTTACAAGGCCATGTGGAGCCCCAAGCTTGGTCCCCAAACTACTACCCACTGGCTCTGCTCCCTCAAATATACCCACAAATAATCTGGGCAGCCCAGGCTGGTTCCAGCATCTTAAAGAACATCACATCCACCTTTTACTGTTTGTCTTTCCTGACCCTTAGCAAAGGCCCATTGCAATTGGAACATGTGGTTCTCCTCTTGCCTACTTCAGAAATGGCCTGGTGATATCTAGGTCTTCTCTGATTTTGAGGAAACACTGTTACCTTTCGGAAACCCTTCACTTTGAAGTTGAATGTGTGGGAGAGAAAGACACACATTCTCCAAGGTGACTCAAAGCCCAAGTACAGGGGAACCACAGTGCCAGCTATCCTGAGCTTGTCTTTCTGTCCTGGGCTTCCTCTGACTGGTTCTGACTTTGTTTGGGCCCCTGCTCTGATAACTGGCCTCCACGTGATTAAGGTAAACAGGCCCCACCTGTTCTCAGTTGCGCTAACACTGTCTTAATCATTTGCCTGACACCTCAGGTCTAAAGGTGAACACCTGCCTAGCTCCCACCAGCCCTCCCAAGGACCATGGCCTCCATCTTGAATCCCGATCAGATTCTGGGTCTATTCTAAAAAGAACTGAATGATGTGGCACAGCATGGGAAATGGCTGGTGTTCCCTGCTGGAGACAAGAGAATAAGCCATCCCAAGACAGGGGACAAGAGGTGAGAGAAAAAGTGAAGAGGAGAGAGGAAAAAATACCACCCGGGGGGGGGAAAAAAAAAAAAAAAAAAGAGAGGAGCTGAGGAGGGTCTATCCAGTACTTAACTCTTCTGCTTCAAATAGCTTTGAGGAATGAAATACAACTTGATTTTACCCACATGATCAGTGCAGGAATCCCAGGGCTTTGAGTGAGTGAGTGAGTGAGTGAGAGAGAGAGCGAGCGAGCGAGCGAGCAATGTCAGGAAGCAACAAAGTTACACTAAGCATTCCTTCTCGGCTGTTAATTTATTTTTAATACAGGATGAACACCTGTGAGCTGGCAAAGACACTCCCAATTACTGCCTTAAAAAAATGTCTAACTTGTTTCTACATCCTTTTTTCCTTTTTAACCTTGCCAAAATGCATACCTTGGAGGAATGGGTCTTCAGCCTGATCTCAACCATTGTGACACCACGGTCTACAACTGGTGTCCCTGGCATTGTGCCTGAAGAGTCCCAGGGGCTGTACATGGTAGCCCTGCACTTAATTCCATGATCTCTCCCCCTGTATAAGAAACTTCTCTTGTTCGGGTCAGTTTTCTGGGTCTAATCAGGAAGTATACAATGTAGATCCTCAATTCTTTATCAAAATCTCGTTAAAATATGAATTTACCACCATCTCTATTTCTATCACTCTTTCTCCCGGCAGGATTTGCTTCCTGTAGCATTCCATCTCTTACCTCTGCCACTGGTAATTCACTGAGATATACGTATACTAGTAATAACAGTGCTAAGAGTTTTATAGGTACTATCTAATTCTCACAATCTGTGGTGCTGCTAACTCTAGACTTCTATTTCTAGCAATAGGGCAGAAAAAAGACCTTGGAAAGCCTCTTACTGCAAAACAACTAGAATTTATTTATGAAGTATAACAAGCAGACTTGTCAATACAAATCCGAGCTAGTGAGAAACAGAAGGAATTCCCCGGGAGTGAAAACAACAAAAAAGCTGAAGACCAGGGTGGTCAGCAAGCCCTAACAGCTTTGACTACCCTATGGTGTTGGCTGGTCTCCCCAGACAATGGGTATGGGCTTTAATAGCCATTTTGGGAAAGGAAGACTAAGTCTTGAGCTCACTCCAGGTAGAAAGTTAGAACTTAAATGTATTAGAAAAGAAGGTTAAAAAAAAAAAATCAATAATCTAAGCACTCATATTGAGAAATTAAAGAACTGCAAATGAAATCCAAAGAAAGTGGAATAAAAGTCCTAAAAAGCAGAAACTAACCATACCAAACACATGCATGCCGCCTAAAGCACGTTAAAGATGTCTGTCAGTGGAAAGAGGGAATTAGAAAAAATACCGTCCACTGGCAAAGGAAGACTGCAGAGAAACTTGCCTATCTTGGCCTGGTTTTGGATTAAGGACCAAAAGGCTCTTGGAATTCATAAACATGGGTCCTCCACTGGCTCAGGTCAGGTCAGATCAAGTAACAAACGAATAAATAAGCATAGACAAAGTTCCTGGTTGACAAGGCCCCTAGAGCAACCAGCAGAAGCAAAGGTAAGGCCTCTGACACAGGACAGGCCTCCAAACATGCTGCATCTACTTACTGGCAGGGGAAAGCTAGCCTAAAAAGCTGTCATGTTGAGTCACTCCTCCAGACCTCCGGGTCCACGTCCATGTCCACGTCCACCTCCACCCTTAAAAGCACTGATTCTCCAAGTGTGGTACTGGGACCAACTGCATCAGCATCACCTGGAACTTGTTAGAAATGCAAATCATCAGGCCCAGCTCAGACCCCCTGACTCAGGAACTCCCAGCAGTCTGTGTTTAACAAGCTTTCCAGGTGATTTTGATGCACTCAGTTTGAGAAATTTATACCCATTCTTCCTCCCCGAGACTGCCACCAAGACAAACACATTCAGTTAAGTTCCAGTAAGATTGGGAATTATTGCTCTTGATCTTAAGTATATCTTATACCTACCAAACCTTAACAAATACAACTTTTAGAACACCAAATAGAATTTTTATTTTTAAATCATTGAAATATATGAGTCATTCTTTTCATGTTTTTTGTTCACTTTAAAATTTTAAATCCAGTAGAGTTAACGTACAGTGTTAGTCCTTCCATGTTTTTTATACAATAAAGCAATAGACCCTTTAAGTATGTAGGGTTTCAGCTTAAAAAATGAAATCTTCGCCCATGATTATTTATAATCTATTTATGTAATAATTAGCATATGACTGAGAGATACCAATTACTTTAACATGAATAGAGTAGGCATTTACATAATTATAATGCTAATAATCTTCTATTTTCAGTCCAGAATTTGGGTGTATGTGCTGTGTTTTTGCTTGGGTAGAAAGAACCACTACCTCTTAAGTAAAATGAACATTTGTTCTGTTGCTCTGAATACATGAATAATTTTGAAATTAGGATATTTTGCTTGGGACACAACTAACTCATCTGGTATGTCTGATTCTTCACACTCTCAGTTGTTAGTTCTTACTTATAGTTGTTCATAGTGTTTATTTCAACTTCATGCAGGTCTAAAATGGTGACAGCTCTCATTAAAAATAAGAATTTTATTTCAGTCTATGACATCATGTTTTCTATTCCATATTGTTATTTCATCAGAAAACATGTTCCATAAATTCTTCTGTGTCATATTATCAATAAGACAGAGACAACTTGCTGCTTTAAGCAGGATCTTAGGATACTGCGGTGGGGGGGGTCCTTTGTATTGGTAGAGCTACTACAAACTAGAGTTTATTTGCTCAGTTCTAGGAATCTAGAATTGAGGCAGATAGTTTATTTTAAAATAATGAAGCCCCGGATATCTTGCCTAATTTCAAGATTTCTGACTATACAATCAGTGATCAGAATGGTCTTTTTTTTTAAGATTTTATTTATTTATTTGAGAGAGGGAGAGAGCATGGGTTGGGGGCAGAGGGAGAGGGAGCCTCCCTGAGCAGGGAGCTGGATGCAGAACTCGATCCGAGGACCCCAAGATCATGACCTGAGCTGGAGGCAGACACTTAACCGATTGAGCCACCCAGGCGCCCCAGAATGGTCTTTTATACCATCTGCTACCATTCCTTCCACTATGCACAGGGGAAGGTCTATTGGCACATGTGCAATAGATGTAAGAGCATAGTAGTTCTGAGAACTGCCCTAGGTGGAACAAATGTTGCTAGGCATGCCTCCGGCTCTGCCCAAGCAGTCCTTGCTGGGGACTGAGTTTCAACCTGAGTGTCCTCCCCCACATCTCCTGTTCCTTAAAACTATTCTCTTGGTTGCCTCAAATGTGTTATCTATTCTCCAGACCCAAAAGTCAGGCCTTCTCCTCTTGACAGTAGGTATTTGACCCAGGACGTCCAGGCAAATTCTGGCCCCTGTCATTCCATCTCCCCTGGCAGAAGAATGAGTCATCACAGAGAACAGCTGCACCTCTACTACCAAAATCATACACATCCCCTATACCTCTCACCAGCATCAACATCTCCTTTATTTCTTTTTCCTTATCTCCAACATCAACAACCTCATCAAAACGCCAGTGGGCCATGAACATCATCACCACCATCATTACCATGATCTGCAATGCCATCACTGTCTTCCACATGCTAAGAAGTGGTCTGATATGTTACCAAAAGAAAAGGAGTTCTGAAGTCAAGCTGAAATACTTTCAAATTATTGGCTGTAGCTCTCACCATGTGTGAGAGCTTGGGCAAGTTCCTTCCCTTGAATGTCCTTCCTTGTCTGTAAATAAATGGGGATAATACCTTCCTCATATAGTTTTTGCAAAGATTAATAAAGTACATAAAACCTCTTACACAGTAGAAACTCCTATAGGTGCTCAACAAATGCTGGTAATTTTTTTATATTGTGGGAACTCAATAAACACAGAACCAGTGACTGAACAAACGAATGGACAAAAGGAACTGGATGTTCTTTTTTTTTAAGATTTTATTTATTAGAGAGAGAGAGAGAACACAAGTGGGGGAAGGGACAGAGGGAGGAGGAGAAGCAGACTCACTGCTGAGCAGGGAGGCCAACAAGGGGCTCAATCCCAGGACTCCAGGATCATGACCTGAGCTGAAGTTAAGACTCACCGAGCCACCCAGGCGCCCCAGAACTGGATGTTCTTAAAGAGCATTTCATCGAGGTGAGAGGTTGTCAAACACTTAGTTGTTGTTGTTAATAGCAAAAACCTTGCTTCAAGTAAAATCTAATGCAGAAAGTCAACACTGAAAACAAGAAAAATTGAGCTGTTTCAATTAAACAAGAATGGGGGTCCTATGGTCCTTTTATTCAGACCCCTTTGTTCTCTTCATTGCATACCAGGTCAACTTTGTCCTGAAACTCCAAAAAGGGCAGTCTGAAAACCACAGATCTAGGCTATATTCTCTAAATTTTGTTATACCCTTTATCTAGATTCCACATATTTTTTTGTAAGTTCTATTTTCTCTTTGTTAATAATCTAAATGAAATCTTTATCATTACATCTTCTAACTTGTTGTTGATACACAGGAAAGCTGCCTTTGTAGATAAGTAAATTCTCTTAAAAATTCTTCAAATGTTTCAGTTTATTCCCCTGGGGTTTTCCAAGTATATAATCATATTGCTTATGAATGATAATTTTTTGTCTCCACCTGGCCAATATTTTTTATCTTGTATTTGTTTCATGTTTTAGAATGTGCACCATAACATCCAAAATAATGTTATATAAAAATGGTTATGATATGCATCCTACTTTAGTTCTTGATTTTAATTAGCTTTCTTGTACACCAGTTATTCTCTGCTTTGTTGCTGGGGTCCCAACCCTCTGAGATTTTGATTTTTACTGGTCAGGAAAGGTCTCGGGCATCAGAAGGTCTTAAAAGCTCCCCAGGTAAATACCCGGTAGTGCAATTGCTGGGTCATAGGGTAGCTCTATTTTTAACTTTTTGAGGCACCTCCACACTGTTTTCCAAAGTGGCTGTACCAACTTGCATTCCCACCAACAGTGTAAGAGGGTTCCCCTTTTTCCACATCCTCTCCAACATTTGTTGTTTCATGCCGTGTCAATTTTTGCCATTCTAACTGGTGTAAGGTGGTATCTCAATGTGATTTTGATTTGAATTTCCCTGATGGCTAACGATGATGAACATTTTTTCATGTGTCTGTTAGCCATTTGTATGTCTTCTTTTGAGAAGTGTCTGTTCATGTCTTCTGCCCATTTTTTGACTTGATTGCACTACTGGGTATTTACCTCAAAGATACAGATGTAGTGAAAAGAAGGGGCACATGCACCCCAATGTTCATAGCAGCAATGCCCGCAATAGCCAAACTGTGGAAAGAGCCGAGATGCCCTTCAACAGACAAATGGACAAAGAAGATGTGGTCCATATATACAATGGAATACTACTCAGCCATCAGAAAGGATGAATACCCAACTTTTGCATCAACATGGACAGAATTGGAGGAGATTATGCTAAATGAAATAAGTCAAGTAGAGAAAGTCAATTATCATATGGTTTCACTTATTTGTGGAACATAAGGAATAGCGTGGAGGACATTAGGAGAAGGAAGGGAAAGATGAAGGGGAGGAAATACAACGGGGAGTAGAACTATTGGAGACTATGGACCCCGAGAAACAAACTGAGGGTTTTAGAGGGGAGGAAGTGGGGGATGAGTATTTAATTTTTATTGATAAATCTCGGGTGCCTGGGTGCCCCTGAGGGGTTAAGCATCTGCCTTTGGCTTGGGTCATGATCCCAGGGTCCTGGGATGAAGTCCCACATTGGGGTCCCTGCTTGGTGGGGAGTCTGCTTCTCCTTCTGCCCCTCCCCGCTGCTTGTGCTCTCTTCTCTCAAATGAATAGATAAAATCTTTTTAAAAAATTGATAAATCTCTAGTCAGACTCATCAAGAAAAAAAGAGAAAGGACTCAAATAAATTAAATAACAAATGAGAGAGGAGAAATAACATCAAAACCTCACAAATACAAACAATTATAAGAGAATATTATGAAAAACTCTATACCAACAAATTGGACAACCTAGAAGAAATTAAGAAGTTCCTAGAAACATATAAACTACCAAACAGAAAGAAATAGAAAATTTGAACAGACTGATAACCAGCAAAAAAAAAAAAAAAAAAAAGAATCAGTAATCAAAAAACTCCCAACTTAAATAAAAGTCAGGACCAGATGGCATCACATGTGATTTCTACCAAACATTTAAAGAAGAGTTAGTACTTATTCTTCTCAAACTATTCCAAAAAATAGAAAAGGAAGGAAAACTTCCAAATTCATTCTATGACACCAACATTACCCTGAGACCAAAACACCACTTAAAAAAAAGAGAACTACAGGCTAATATCCCTGATGAACATAGATGCAAAAATCCTCAACAAAATACTAGCATACTGAATCCAACAATTCATTTAAAAAATTGTTCGCAGGGGGCACCTGGGTGGCTCAGTCAGTTAAGCGTCTGCCTTCGGCTCAGGTCATGATCCTGGGGTCCTGGGATCGAGCCCCATGACTGGCTCCCTGCTCAGTGGAGAGCCTGCTTCTCCCTCTCCCTCTGCCTGCCACTCTGCGTATTTGTGCTCTCTCTCTGTCAAATGAATAAATAAAAATCTTTAAAATAAATAATTAAATAAAATAAAATAAATAAAAAATTGTTCACGTTCAAGTGGGATTTATTCCTGGGTTGCAAGAGTGGTTCAATATTCACAAATCAATGATATGAGAAAGGATAAGAACTATCAATAAG